CAGAACAGCGCCACCTACAACAGCCAAAATAATACCCCTATGGGACTTTTTGGAGGTCAAGTTTGTCGTAGAAACATGAGATTTGGTACACATGTTCCTTGAGTCAAGACATGAAAAAAATATTATTATGGCTCCGCCCTCTGACAAACAGGAAGCCCATAAATTTCACTGCAAAATGGAAAAATGAACAGCAAAAGTTTTCATACATGTCGGTTGGAAAGCGACTCCTCCTCGGCCGTTTCACCGATTCGCCTCAAAATCGCTCCACATCATCTCAACACATGTACCTTCAAAATGACCTCAGGGATTTTTGATCAGTGAAACATTGTTTGAGCAGCGGAGCGGCAAAATGTGACCTTTTTTTGGCCGTTTTTGACAACATTAAATTTGCTCCCGTTTGCACAAACAAAGTCTGATTTGCACAAAACTTTAATACATTGTTCAACTTTAGGGTCTAGGTCATTTGAAAGTTAAATGATTCACATTGACACATTAGCGCCCCCTACAGACTATTTCAAAGTTTTAGATGGGCATTTTCAAATTTAGTTTTTTCAAAATGTTTGAAATTTTGCACATAAATCTGTTTTGCACTCTTGATTCAAAAAGTCAATAGGGTCCAAGGCTTATTTTTTACCCTGTTGCCGTGGCGACGACAAACGCTCCAGATTCATTGCAAATGTACACCTCACACAAACATCAAACTAGCCTCGGCCGTTTCACCTATTCGCCTCAAAATCGCTCCACATCATCTCAACACATGTACCGTCAAAATGACCTCAGGGATTTATGATCAGTGAAACGTTGTTTGAGCAGCGGAGCGGCAAATAGTGGCGTATTTTTTTTCAGTTTTTGACAATAGAAAAATGGCTTCCGTTTGGACAAACAAAGTCTGATTTGCACAAAACTTAAATCCATGGTTCAACTCTTGGGTCTAGGTCATTTGAAAGTTAAAATTTTGAAATTGGCTCTATAGCGCCACCTACAACAGCCGATTTAAAAATGCCTATGGGAGGGGTTCGAGGTCAAAATTGTCATAGAACCATGTAATTTGGAACACATGTTCCTCAAGTCAAGACATTGAACTTGTTTTATTATGGCTAAGCCCTCTGACAAACAGAAAGCCCATAAATTTCACTGCAAAATGGAAAAATGAAAAATAATCATTTTCATACATGTCGGTTGGAAAGCGACTCCTCCTCGGCCGTTTCACCGATTGGCCTCAAAATTGTTCCAAATCATCTCAACACATTTACCTTCAAAATGACTTCAGGGAATTTTGATCAGTGAAACGTTGTTTGAGCAGCGAAGCGGCAAAATGTGAGGGTTTTTTTGGCCGTTTTTGACAACATTAATTTTTTCCCGTTTGCACAAACAAAGTCTGATTTGCATTAAACTTGAATCCATTGTTCAACTCCAGGGTTTAGGTCAGGTGAAAGTGAAATATTTGAAATTGGCCCATTAGCGCCCCCTAAAGACTGAGCCAAAGTTTACATCGGGAGCCAAACCAGCTCTACTTATCATATTCATTCAAATTTGACTAACAATCTTCTATGACTACGGGAACAAATCATCACACGGCGGCGCCACCTCCTTTGAGCGGTGCTGCGTGGTACGGTGTGGTGCGGCGTAGTGCGGGGCGTTGTGGAGCGGCGCGTTGCGGCTTGGTACGGGACGGCGTGGTGCGGGACGGCGTGGTGCGGGACGGCGTGGTGCGGGACGGCGTGGTGCGGGACGGCGTGGTGCAGGGCGGCGTGGTGCGGGGAGTGCGCGCGGTGCAGGGAGTCGCGCGGTGCGGCGAGGGCCGTTCGACGCCGCTTGCGGCTTTAATTACAGTCTATTATCATGAGGCAAGTGCTGATGCTTCAGAGAAACATGTCAAGGTAATAACATCGCTGGCTTACATTTGCCTTGGGGTTAGAAGAACCAAATAACTTATTTCTACTAAGAACACTAGAAGTGTTAAGATGGACTTTTGTTATTGACTAACTAATAAATACATTAAGTCTAAGATCACATGTACACTGCAAACTGAGCGGTGATGGAGGCCCTCTCTGCTTAAAGTTTCTGAAAAAGTTGTTTTTCAGATCATTCTACATGTAGATAGATGTAAAGCTATTGTGAGTACCATAAGCACGTTTACCTTTGTTTTTTGGAACTTAAAGATATTTGTTTTCAATATTGTAATGGGCACCAGCTGCATGTGAACGCCTGATCCTGTCAGAACAGGGTTGAATTAGATGAATGAGATGGTAGACCTGCCAAATGGTTGTCATGTCCTGAGGAAAGATACTTACCCGACATTGCTGATATGAGTTTGGAGCAAGAATAATGGTGGTGGTCGGAGGGGTCTATGGCACAGATTAGTTGTCTTGCCTCCTTAAACTCAGGGCCAGTGGCAATAGCTGTTCCCAACCACTGTGAATGGAGTTTATATACTGTAGCGCTTTTTTGGACACTCAAAGACACTTCACAAGTCATTATCCATTAACTCCCTCCATGTAATAAACTACAACAGTAGCCACAGCTGCCCTGGGGCACACTAACAGAAGCAAGGCAACCAGTCTGTGCCATCGGCCCCTCTGACCACCACCAACCACCATGCACCAGACTCATTCTAGGCAATCTTGCGTAAGGACAACAACAACAGCGGCACCTGATGCTCCCAAAGGTCTCCCATCACAGCACTGACCAGGCCCTGCTTAGCTTTAGAGGACTGACGGGATCTGGCTTTCGCATGCCGGTATAAATATGCTACATAAGTAAAAGGCAGGGTGTATTATAAAACCTGAGAGCTTTGGATAATGTAGCTATTGCCAGTTGTTCTCCCTATTTAAACAAATAAATAACAAAAAACAATGCATCTTTCAGACATATGGTTTTCCCGTTGTTATAATAGATCCATGGGTTTTCCACGTTTGTAATGCCAGATTTTCCTACAAAATAAATGCAATGCACCAATTTAAAAAAAAAAGAATCGGATGACATTTATTACAGATGCATTGTTTCTTTTTGAACCATTTCCTTTCAGCCTAAAGAAACTCGACATTATAAAGAAACATACAAAGAACATTTTTATTAACTACACAAGACACCTAAGTCCCTAAGACAAGATTCCGAACTATCCTACCATGGAATACAAAGCAAACCCAACAGACTGCTTCATATCGAATTCTGCCGCGTCGTCAGAAAGTACAGGAGAATCATTTATATCCCCCTCCCTTGAAGCCCACCCGTCCCAGAGTCAACACACCCCCCGCCAGCAATTCTCCCCAATGTTACAGTATCATACATCACAATAGAAGTACAGAGAAGGCTGACGATCCATATACACGGGACGGAGAAAGGATTTTGAGAGAGCCCAGTAAAGCAGAGGACAAAAATGTTACCCTTCAAAATGTCACTTTCTGTGCTATCAATTGAACAACGTTTTTTTTTTAATGTAAATCCTTCATTAAAAAGAGACACAAGGGAAAAGAATGGCTCTCAGTCTGGTCCTTTCTCTGTCCCGCAGTCCTCCACACACATGTCATACACTGTACAATGCATTCTCAGCAACGTCTGCCAAATATTCAGCACATCCTCTCTGCAAAAAAAGACATTTATTTATAATTTACTCTGCGCTGTGTTCATTGGTAGTGACTGACATATCAAAACATGTCAATGATATCAAAATGCATTATACATTATTTACAAAATTAAAGAGATTAGGGGTCGAGGCATTCTGGAGCTGAGGATAGGCGGGTGAAAGAAGGAGTGGCGTGCGTCTCTACGTTAACAGCCATAAATTGCCTGGCAGCCCAAATCTGGAGATGTCCCTGTTCAATTCAGCTTAACTTCTGTTCACATTTCTATCAGAAAATTGATAAATACAGAACCGGTATAACTGCAGAGGCTACGAAGGAAGATTTTTTGGACGAAAATAAGTGCTGAGACAGAGACGCGGAGACAGAATGACTGGCAGAAAAGAAAGTGTACCACAAAAAACAGTTCAGCCTGGTTTGGTGATGTCCCAAGCAGGTCCCATCAGCACAATCCTTTCAGGGTCCTGCGTATTTCAGGTTTCTCATTGAATTTCATAATGTTAACACAGAATACACACTTTGAAATTGAACTATGATGTGATTTGATTGAGAAAATCCACTTGCTTCTCCAGTAAGCTAGCACTGGTTTGAGTCGAGATAGTGGACGTCTTAAGGATTCACTTTCCTCAGAGACAAAAACATGACTGTAAATAATCACACACGACCAAAACCTGCTGATGTCCCAAGTCCCAAAAACCATTTGAGCATTTTATCCATAATTTTATAATCCATAAATATGAAACTGAAATGAGAATTGCTCACCTCATCAAGAATAATTAGCTGTTCCAAGATCTGAGAATATTGTGCTACAGACATACAGTAGAGTAGATGCAAGCTACAAGTTTCTGAGGAGGCTTCAGGAGAGGTATGTTCAGTCTGACTGAGATCACAGACATCAAACAACAACAGTTTTGTAAACAGGAAATTATTGTGCATTTCAACTGTGTGCTTATATTGTCCTTGATGCTGATGCGGAATAAAATGTGCCCATGGCAGAAAATAATAACTACATTAGATCAATAATAACAATTATGAAAATTATAACAACAATATAATAAACAAACATTGAAATATTTCATAAAAACCACTGTCCTAAATAACATTAGAAGTCCATGTTTCCTTTTCGACTCAGCAGCAGCAGTTTTCAGTCAACTACCACGTTCCCTCCAGTTAAAGTCAGTGTACGTGAAGTGGCTCCAGCGCCAGCCTTGGGTCAGGGTTAGTGTCTGAGGCCAGTCCAGGCCAGAACATGGGAGAAGACTTTCCTGTGTTTTTAAATCCACATCCTTTTTACAAACGGTTTAAAGGGAGTTCTGTTTCCAGTGGCATCCCCAGTGTGAGTTACACAGCACACATCCATGAGAGGCCACGTAGAGAGGGCGAGGACAGTAGGGGAGATGGTCAAATATATTTTAAAAATCACACACTCATTGTCATGTTGGGCGAATACTGTGGGGACAAAAGAGAGACAGAAGAGTGTGTTATTTGATAGGTTAAATCAAACATGTTTTAATATTTAATACAATCAAAACAATACATTGTAAATAACTAAAATACAGTATTAAAGGAATGTATATATAATGAAAGCAATTTAGTTTTAATTTGAAAAGAAACTCACACTTTCACTTTGGAATGGGTTTAAAAAGTTGCCTGCCATTTCACCATCATCCCGAGGAGTGCCGGGCGGATTGTTCATTCCTGCCATGTTGTTGGGAGAGTTCTGCAAATAATTAAAACAATTTAATAAAATATTGACAATGGAATGTAGTGTATTAATTCTCACCTTTGGCAACCCGTCCATGTCACCTGAACCTAGAACCACAGCAGAAACACATGTGTTACATATCTGAGCAACCAGAGGTACACACAGCAGCAGTTCAACCATCTGATACACATTATATGTACTTCAAACATTTAGGTGCTTTAGGTGACACTGTATTTCCTCTCTGAACCAGGAGGGGGCAGGAGTGGGATGCTAATGTTTTCCTATCAGCAGTATTTCAATCCTTTTGCTCTGAACACTCACCTAACGATCCGTTCATATGATGTGGGTCCATGGCTCCCATCCCTCCCATGGGCCCGTCAGGCCCAGGCCCCATTGGGAACTGAGGGCAGAAAAGAAGAACAACCATTTCACTATTTTCAAAAATATAATTACCTCCATACCCTAGGCCCAAGATTGTTAAATACACTTGTTCCTAAAGTTTTTCTCTGAAAAACAAGGTTTAGATGAATTCAATGAACACTGCACTCACATTAGGTCTGTTTCCACCTGGGCCGATGGGGTTCATCATTGTGTAGATGTTTTCACTCGAGTTCGTTGAATCTGTGGAAATAAAGAAACATGTGTTGTTTAAATCCCATGGCTTTGAAGTCTTTTTTACTGTTTTATATGAAACGTGTTGAGATGTGAGATACAGAGCCAGGCGTGGGGTCTGGAGGAGGGCAGCTCCGAGTGGGAGGCCGCCTCATTTGTGTGCTCCTGTTTTGTGTTTTTGTGTGAATGAGTGTTGGAGCAGTCTTGGCGACTGCAATGGAAATATGTTTTCCTCCCAGAGTACGTGCAGGAGCTTTTCGTGCAAAAGGTTGCCCAGCAACAAATCACAATAGAGGCACATATATAAATAATAAATAGTGGCCACAAAAGACTTTCCACAGGCCAAGAGAAACAGAACATTGACAGGATTTCAGCACATACTGTTAGTTCTCAGCTAAAACCTCCAGGGACACATTAGATCTCTACTATCAGTATAATATATTTCAATGTTTTACTAACTTGCATTATTTTTCTGCACAATGAAATGTTCTTCAAACAATCATGGTAAAGAGGTATTTTGGAAAGGGCCTTTTTCTGACAGGGAGTGTGATGCCTCACACAGAGCCCCATTCAGTGAACACAGAATAAAAGCAGACGTCTGAAAACAAAGTGAAGAGAACTCACCTCCAGGGCTAGGCATGATGGGAGTTCCTGGTGGGCCGCCTCCCCCTGGAGGGCCCTGAGGGAAGAGCAAGAAGAGAAGAGAACTGAGCCCTACGCCAGTGCGTCTGATCGTACTTATGACAAAAACATATAAGGCTAAAGGTCTCATGCTCCAAGACAAGTCACTTACCACGTAGTTCCCTGGAGATGAAGACGAATATGCTATCTGCAGGAGCACAGCACAAACACAGTGTAAATCACATTATTCAGACCTAAAGCTGAGTTGTTTTAGAAGTTGTTGTACTCAAATAAGCCTCACCGAATTATTGTTAGGGTTTGGCCATGGACCTCTTCCACCAGGACCCCTGGATTAAGATCGAAGAATGAGAATTCATCAAAAAATAAAACATATTTGAATTATGCTCTGAACCCTTAGTGCACATACATGTTCATGCCTGGCATTCCTGGCCCCATGGAGTTTGGAGGCGGCCTCATCCCTCCACCGTAGTTCTGTGAGGAACAACAGAACATTAACGCAGGGCAGATGCTATCCTGTCACGATAATACACTTAAATGGCTGTAGGCGCGGGCAGACAGCTGCATGAACGAGGCCGGGCAGCTCTGGCATGTTCACATGCAGGAGGCACATCCTCTGTATCTTCATGTTCATGTGTTTGTGCTGAGGAGAGGCTGGCCAGAGAGCAGCTCTAGTCAGAGGAAGACTTTTGTTCGGCACACGATTACACTTGTGGAGCAGATGCCGCACCAGCTGCTGCAGTGGTCATAGCCAAAGTGACCAAGCCATGGTGGCGGCAGAGGGCGATGAAACACTGACGGTCTAAGTGTCTGCCTTTAAATGAGGCGCCTCGTCCACAAGCCCGAAAGGTTAGCTGTCCAGTTGCCACATGTGGTTGGGACTGATATTAGGAGGATGGACATCAGCAAGAGAAAATAATCATACCACAGTGACATTTAAAATGATAATTTATTCAATAAAGGAAAACCAAATGTGTGGCTTGTATAATATGTTTATAGTTTTTTACATAATTGTATGTTCTTTGCATTACCTGTGGGCCCATGCCTCCCATCCCCCGTGGCGGATTCATTCTCATTGGACCACCCATATTCGGATGTCCTGAAATGAGATATTAAAATCAATGAGTGGATCACACTGAGAAGTAAAACAAATCAAAAGGTGTGTGTGTGTGTGTGTGTACCTTGCGGCCTGGTTGGGTCTAGGCTATTTGGCAGCAGAGGCTGTGACCCGGGGATGCTCCCTGGTGGCTGGTTTGGCATTCGAAGAGAGGGCCGGGGGCCTCCAGGGTACCGCGGGGACATGAACGGCTGAGGACAGTTGGAGAAAAGTTGTTCACAAATAGTGCAGCTCTATTTAACCTCAGCTTATTTTACTAAATCAACATTTTGATTGAGACTGTGCATGCCAGTATAACACACACGCAGGAATGGCACATTATAGATTCACATTTATAAAAGATAGATGGTTCTTATGTTGGTTATTCTGTTGAATATGGTGAATAAACTGACACCTGCAGTGGAAACCGTATGTTTACATTCACTGTGTGAAAATGACTTTTTTTTCTTCAATCCTAAACTTCTAACCTTGTAGAAAGTAAAATAAATTATTAAGAAGAATGACATCTCTTTTGGTAAAAAAAACTGAAGATGTCTTTTTCTTTATATAAACTGCGTATAATCAGCCATACAGTAGGTAAAGAGTTTGGAGGAGCCTCCCAAATATGTTGATTATTATATTATAGACAGCTTTAGTTGTAGACATTCCACATTAATACTTTTAAATGTTTTTGATCATCTTTTGTATCGGACATTATAAAAAGGCTCATATGAACTGTATACTGTAGCTGTTTGAATTGGTTGACTAAATATACTGTCATAAAAGCAGATTCTGTGTCAGCTGCAGCTCCAAAAGCACATGGCTGAAGTGAAACCCTTTCAGTCACAAATTTAGCTGGAAATATTATCTTTGAGGGAACAAATAATACTGTGTAAGATAAGATTAAGAATTTCTTTTGAATTATTTTACTGTCCTTCCAGTGACCCCCCCACCCCCCCGGCTGTTTTCTAAACACAATGTAGTTTGTGCATGGGACTGCTCTGTGTCAGGCCGTGCTGCAATATTAATGCTCTATTGATGGACTATGGGATGGTGAGTGGGTGAGTGCTGGGCTGAGGCAGAGAAGGCCCTCCAGACGCTCCTCAGCTCCTTACAGCTGGACCAAAGCTCTAAATTATTCATCCAAGCCTGCCTGGCCTGTCCCTCAGTACAACAAGGGACGTGTGCGTTTGCTCCTACACTTAACTGTGAGAGCCCAGCGTAACAGATCAGGCTGGAGCTTACCTGTCCGTGAGGGCCCATCATGGGGTTACTTGGATTGTGTGGGGGAGGCTGTGTGTGTGGAGAAGGCTGCGATCCTGGAGGGCCCTGAGAGACAGAAAGAACAGTACAATAAGTTATCTCTATCATTCAGGTCATAAACACTTGTTATAGTGCAGCTTCAGTGAGAGAAGACACCGAAACAACACTAGGGCTGCATGAACAGTCACAATCAAATACAAATCTATGTAATAGTAAGTAGTAAGCTTTATTTATATACCGCCTTTCACAGACCAGAGTCACAAAGCGGTTTACAATTGTTATTTTTGGGCACTTGTCCTCTCACTCCACACAGAGATGGGAGCGGGGCCAGTACAGGAGGCACATGCCAGACCTATTGTACATATTTTTAGTGGTAGGGGAAACCGGAGTACCCGGAGGAAACCTACGCAGACACGGGGAGAACATGCAAACTCCACTCAGAAAGGCCCTGGTCCGGCCGGGATTCGAACCCAGGACCTTCTTGCTGAGAGGCGAGAGTGCTATCCACTCAGCCACCGTGCCGCCATGTTTTGTGGTTGCAATCAGGAAATCAGAAAAACTACAATTGTTGATCTGAATTGAAAACAAGAATTAGACTACGCAAAATATCAGTTGTGACATGTGTCTTGATATGAGTATTGTAAAATATGAGTATTTTGGAGATTTGACAATGGAACAAATACCTTTGGTCTTGTTGTTAGCAGAAGCATTATTTTCTCCTTCTTTTTTCATCTTTGATTTAAACTCAGTTCTGACAATAAGAATGTTGTGAGAAAAGATAATGTAAGTCAAATGGAGCCAGAAAGAGTAGGAAAATAGCTTTGTCCATGAGCACTTCTCCATTGGGCTTCATTGAGCCAGGGGTTAGCATCGTCTATGGTTCCATATCACTCTTACTTAATCCTTACTGTTTAACATGTATAATAGTGTCTCTGGCATGAATATTGTAGTGTTCATTAACAGCGGATGGTTTTGAGACACATTGAGATAACTCCTTTATGTGCCCTTTAGGGAGGCTCATCTTGGAGACCAATCCATTTGAAATGGGCTACATGTTGTTCAGCATCAATAATCTCTACTGAGGAAGTGGGTTCAGTTGTACACAGTGCCTATTAGAAGACGTTCCATCATGCCCGTGCTGCTGTGAGTTCTAAGTTCTTAAAGCAGCTTCACCGTGGTCACTTCACACTGAGGCTAACGCGAGCTCAGAGATGATTCAGTCTGAGTCAGAGTCAGACCGACTGAGGATTGGTCAGATTTACCAAGACACAGCTTGATTTTGGTTTCAAATAATTAGAGATTGGCCTCTCTGGGTTTTCTGTGAATGAATCACTCAAATCATAAGCCAATAGCATGTTTTACCCTTTGTACTTTTTTCACCATATTTTTATTTAAACAAAATTCACATAAAAAAACAAAAAACAGAAGTCCTTTCATGAATAAAATGTGCCTTCTCTACAGGCGCTGATGTGAACGGCCTTTATGACTGTTTCCTCTCAGTCCCTTTCCTCAACTGTCACAGAGAAGCAAGCTGGGGCATTTTGGAGAAACCACTTGCTTAGTGCATGTGTGTGCATGTGAGTGTGCATGTTATTTGTGTACTTGGGAGAAGGAAGGGGCATGGGGCAGCGTTAAATGAAGCAATTAATAAAATCATTTTCTACCCAGCTAAGGAGATAACAGCTTGGCACAGTACCACCGACTCATCAGCACAACCCTCCCCTAACTCATTTCAGTCAAAGCAAGAGCTACATTGCTGGCCGGCGTGGAACTATAACAAGAGAATAAGAGAAAAAGAGGCAGAGGAGGCATGGGGGGAAAGGAAAAGTCTAATCCAACCAACCAGGAGAGGGCAGTGCGTGTCTGCTCCAGATCACACTAGCCCAGAGAAGCAGCACAAAGCAGAATGCATCAGTGAACACAACAAACAAAGCCAGGAGGAACGGCACCGCAGCAGCAGCCCTTCCCTCATTGTCATTCCTTAACATTCCAGGGGGAGAGTGTGTTTGGATGTGGCGGGGGCTTCTGCTTGCTCACGGTATATATGGCACGGCAAGGCGTCAGGCCGGGAGATGGAAGCGCGCTATCAGGAGTGTGTCTTCTCCCAGAGGACGGCTACAGAAATGCTGACAGCCGTTTAAACAAGTTAGGGTGGCACCAAATGATTTATATATCTGTGATCTGTGGCGGCGCTAAGGGGGAGCACTCCAGTCGACACACGCAAGGATAGATGTTTGGTGTTTTCATGGCACACCAGCAGTAGATAGACCTCAGTGTATGTGGTAAATTTGCAGCTGATAGGGATGAGGCATGACCGGCTGGAGACAAAGGCTATATTCAAAGCACTGTTTATCTAAAGTGCCTGTTATCAACGTGTGTAAAGTGTAACGCTACTGGAGGTTATGGGGCATTCTTCTAAACAGCGATCACTTTTTGTTATCGATTCTGTAAGCCAGAGCCAAATGAGGTACTATACAGATTTAAAGAAGATGTATTACGCATTATTTTTGGCCATAAAATACATAATTATGTTTTTTACTTAGTAATTTCATGTCTTAGAATGTGAAATAATATCTACAGTAGAGAATATATAGTGAAACAAGTATCAAGGGTAAATAATGCTATCGGACCTGCCCTATCCCTTTCCTATCACCAGAGGGAGATGTAGAATTTTGTGTTTTTACAGATTTGTCAGCTGCAGCCACTGTCATGTGATTGTTGACCACCATTTCACCACAAAACTAATTCATGGGCAATACTTTTGTTATAAAAGGCAGTAAACAGCTCTGAGCTTGATGCCGTCGTGGTACAATGACATCATACTTTTACAGGATTGAGACAGAAGCTCATAGTCAGAACGGGTGGAGTTTATGGTATAAACATGGATAGAGCTAAAACAACTCCAGGTCTGTGGAGTTGTTAGAACATGTTGGAACATGATTAGAAGCACATACAAGTACATAAGTCTCCTTAAAAAAGGAAGAGATGAGTTCATTTCTATACAAAAAAGTTTAAAAAGTGTTAAAATTATTTGAATTAAAATAAAAAGGAAATTACTTATTGTGTCTTAGTCTGACAGTTTGGCCAATGCAAGCTGATGTTACGTGGTCCCAAAAACCACTAAGAACCTGTAATTATCCTTGTGTCCTGCAGCGACTCTGGATTTCAGCGAGAGTAGGCCAAACCACAAAGGCTTCACATTGCAGGCTCTGCTGCAGTAGACAGAATACTCAGTCAGACCTATCAAGGTATTCATATTGTATTTGTCATCTAAAATCAAGTGTTCTCTCGCAGACATTGGGTTATGACCATAGACTGTATATATTAACGGACGTAGTCACGCCTATCTCCGCCGTTCTAACTAATAATGGGCCAAAAATTGGGCTTTCATGGAGTGATTCAAAATGGCCGCGGGGGCTGGAAAATGTGAAAAAACGCATCTGTGCATGCGTCAGCTGCATTCATTTAAACGAGAGACTTCAAAAATTCACAGCGACTAAACTAGACTGGTCCAGAACACTCCCTCAGCATTGACACACATGTGGAACGGAGCTTTGGGCCAAGAGCCAACTTTTGGACCATCTTGTAAAGACGTTTTCGAGAGGTCTGCCAATGCTATATGTTAGCATTGGCTAATTCTTATTCCGGGTCCACCCCCATCGGCCCGGGGTGGTATTGCAGCATGTCAGCGCACGTTATTTTGGCCACTTTTGAACCTGGACCCGCCCCCGTTGGTTATGATCAACGGGTCAATAGCATAAAAGGCCACAACTACCATCAACTTATGATGCATGTAGACGAACTTAGGACAGATTCTCTGAGCTTTGATTTTGTTTCAGTTTTACAACAAATGACTTTCCTGGACAACTGTGTGTATGATTATGTGAAAATATATGTGTGTTTTATATTGAATGAGTGACAGGGGTTGGAGCTGCTTTGTCCAACCCCAAACAAAAAAATAAAATAATTCAATGTCTTTTTGAGAAAATTGGTAATATTATTTTGTACCAGGAAACTTCTACAAAAGTACAGTTGCTGCATAGACTATAAAGTAACACACAGTCACTATTTGTCGGTCCATCATCCTTCACATTAAAGCATAGGGCCACTGGTCACTGAGAAGCAGGCTCAGACTTACCTTTGATAAATAAATCAGACAGAGCAGATGTCTCCCTAATTCTCCATGTGCTCGCCATGTGTCGGCTTTGAACGGTTCTTAAATTTGTCTTTGATATCTGCTCGCTTGTTCTTTAAATGTGTAATCAAAGCTAATCCTCTTGTTGTGCTCTTTTTGTCCCTGAAGAGCTGCAATTACCTGCTCTAAAACATGTTGCCCTTGACTCGGCATCTTTATTTGGAATGTGAAGTGATAGGCGTTTAGAAGAAAGATGGCCTCACCTAAACTAACTGCTTTTTAATGGAGTGCAGTGGCCCCTCTGAGCACTGGCTGTTTGACAAATGTATTTAACGTACTACTTTTTTACACATTACAACATTCCCAGATCCTTTGAGCCTATATTTACTCAACGTGAATAAATTAAAGTTAAGGAGAGACAATTTCAGGTAAGTCCCTTTTTGTTGGTTGGTTGGATTAAAAATATCAGTCTATAAAACGTTGCAATTATTGGGGCTCAAAATGTATTGGTTAGTGCTTAGTTGTGTCTTTTCTAAATTATTTTGACAGAACCTAACCTATTATTTTCATTTCGGACAAAACACATTAATAAACAACCATATACAAGTTATACACAAATTGTGTTCAAAAATATGTTTTCATGGACAACTTTAAAAAGGAAAGAGCAGCACAAAAATATGAGTTCTACCTGAATAGACATGATATCTTTGTGGTTAGACGTTCAAAGTGGTGATGCGTTGTATAATTACCCAGCACAGAGCACATGGCCATACCAGTGGGGGCGGGTCCCGGCTCAAAAGTAGCCAAAATGACGTGCGCTGACATGCTGCAGTACCACCCCGGGCCAATGGGGGTGGACCCGGAATAAGAATTAGCCAATGCTAATGTATAGCATCTTCTTACCTCTTGAAAACGTCTTTACGAGATGCTT